CACACACACACACACACACACACACACACACACACACACACACACACCTTATCGTCAATGGCAGACTTGGATCTATGATAATCTGCTGCACCAATCACCAGGATTTGACCCGTCTGGTTAGCACACCACAGTAACTACAAGAAGAAAAGTAACAGTCGTGAACAGACTCGCTTTGAAAAGGTGTTAAATATGAGTTTGGGACCTTATTTATTGCCTCAACATGGTGACAGCTGATGTCGGTGTCTCACAGCTATTGATGCCAACAGCACAAACAATGCAAACTACAGCAATCGTATATGCCAACTGACCTGAAGATGGTATCAATTGTGCAATCTATTGGGTGACATAAATGATCTAAAGTGATGCAAATAAATATTTGCTTTAAAAGACAAAAGTACATTTACCGTTTGTGTGAAAGTAAGTAAAATTCCTCTGTATAATGTATTTTACAACGTTTTGTTGTCTTCTTTAAAATTAAAAACTCCCCATCTTTCCCTGACATTCAGTTGTCTCACTGTAGCTTGGCACAAGTATTTGATGCCCATTGCATATTCAAATGCTTCAACACAAAAAACTGCCATATTCAATTCATCACTAGCCACCTGCAAGATGTATGCCGTCCGTCACTGAATCATATTGCTCGTCTCTCCAAAAAACTCAAAGACTTCTGCCAACCTTCTCTAACCCAGGGTGGTTTTTGGCATGTACAAAATCAAATGTATTATTACATTAATTTAATTCAGAGTGCTTTTTGAACATTTAATCTACAAAGGGGCTTTTCAGTGAACCCTGAAAGTCATCACTGATGTTTTGGGCATCTTCATTTGTTGATATGAGACTTCATTAAGGGTGCAATGGTTCCACATAATGTATTCATTTGGTCAGTTACATGTGTAAATAAAATAACATTGTCACCGAACAACTGTCCTGCAGCTTTGTAATATTCTTTGACTTGTATTGTGTTGATTTTCCATCGAGTCAAAATGCATTTTAAGCATCGTTACGTGCACAGATTACTCACCCTCTGCACCAGCATGGTCTGATCCCCGTAGCCTCCGGCTTGCTCTCCTTCTCCCCCCTCGCCTTCGTCTTCATGAACCACCATGGTGTTGACTGAATCAGTGTCTGCGTCCCTGTGACTGAAACCAATAGAGGAATAGAAGTCAAGGATTACACAAGACTCCGAGCCTGATAATGGAAAAGTGTGAAAAGAGAGTAGCGCAGTATTGAATACTGTACTTCAAAGTCAATTTGACAAATAGACAATGGTGTGCTTCTTGAATTGCCATCATTGTTAGTGTTACCGATCTGTGGGGCTTTCTTCCTCCTCTGCTCCCTCGCCACTCTCGCTCTCTTCACTACTCTCGCTGCTCTCCGATGAGGAGGAGTAATCATTGGCCTTGACTGGGGGCCTTGGCTGCTCCTCTGCACGCTCCTTGGCAAAGAGGCCATGGTCCTGCACACACACACACACACACACACACAAATATTTACTCCAAGAATGCATTCAAAAATGTTGTCAACATAATCTCAGCTATCACAGAAAGCAGCAAATAGCAAATCATATTAAAGACGATCCAAACACAACTGAAGGTGAAGGCTCATCAGCAGGATGGGCTCAAAAACTCCCAGTACTCTCCGAGTTCAGAGCCTGCCACCTGGTGACGTGTTGGGATGATTTTGAGGCTTCGAGGCCTGTGTTGAGTGTAAGATGTCCACAACACATGAAAAAAGGCTTTTATTTAAAGAGTAGGATTTCATTCAAAGACAAAACATGATTACACCAACAAATAAATAAGTGTAGAGCATGCAATTCATTCAACAGGTATTACAGTCAATGAATGCAGATGCAAACTCATGCATGAACACCGAGGACTGCATAACGCACAAGGACACAGTGATACTAACCTCCCCTATAGCTCTCTTGTAACTCTGCACAATTGAGGTAAAGTCAACAAACAGGGATTTAAGAAGAGGAGAGACATGAAGCTTATAAAACATAAAGGAAAGATAATGTGAGGAGAAAACCTTGAGGATACGACATGTCAGTTTACAAACCAGGTGTGTTTTTATTCAATCATATTATGTGTTGCATGCACCCCTACACTGATGTTAAACCTAGCTGTATAAGTAGGGGATAATGAAGAGACAGCTAATATATTGTCTGTTTGAAAACAACCACTTACTGCAGGGCGCCCAGGGCGGGAGGAGGTGCGAGACTCCCCCGGCTTATGACGGCTATCATGGGAGAGCATGGGCGAATCCATTTTGGAGGAACCTGCAAATAAGGTTGCAGAGTTATAATTCTGAAATCAGACTCACTGTAAAGACAGTCTGCAGAGAAATAGCATAGGGGGGGGAGGGACTCACTGAGGATGCGATGCCTCTCTAGAGAGCCAGTCTGGGGAAGATTGGATATGATGCTCATACTGTCTCCTCTCTCCCAGCGATCATTGCGACTGAGATCTGGATTGCTGCAGTGAGGATACAAATGAGTTATCTGAAGTCCATCTACCATCATTTAGCAGGCACTCATTTCTGGAAGTATCTGATAAATCAGTGGGCTGCCTTTAGTACCTGGCTCGCACTGGATGCCTGATGCCAGAGGTCAGGTTGGTGTTGAGAGCTGTGGCAATAGACGCCGTCCTTTGTGGAATCTGAGGACGGAAACATCACAGTCTTACATTTAACACTGTTCTGACTAAATGAGGCCCGGCTAACATACTATTTGTGTGTCAATATGGGAGTCTTTTGCAAACTGGGGTTATGTTTTGGGTCTGTACACCTACTGCAGAGTCAAAACCAGCCACAAGATCTCACCTTGGGTGGGAGTTCCACATCTGGCAGGCGGATCCAGGGGCCGCGATCCTCGATTTGGTGTGCCTGTGGTGCCGGGGTTTCAGAAGTCGGGTCAGAGTTTTGTCGCACCAGCTCTCTAGAGTGGATGGGACGGGGTGAGGGAGTAAGGGAGGGATCCTGGGTGGGGAATGCGGACATGGTCTTAGTGGGCTGGTCACAGAGGGACTGGGAACGAGGGACAGGGGCGGCATAAGGCTTCAGTGGAACCAAGTGAGCCATCTGGAACTGCGGAGGACAGGAGGAGCAGCAGCAGCAGCAAAGTGGAAGAAAGAGAGGATGAGACAGTCGGAGAAGCAGGCCGAGGTGGAGAAGAATGCAAGGTTGTGTTTGTATTCCAAGGAGATGTTTTTAACATGTAGGGACAAAGTGATCACAGATGTGTGGAGAAGGAAAGGAGGGGTAAAGAAGGAAAACAAAGGCATAAATAAGGTAGCAGAGACAAGGAAGGATAAAGCAGCTAAAGAATTAAGGGCAGAAAGGCATAAGCAGCTGTATCTTGTGTTGATTTAATCAACTGAATTTTAAACCCACCTTTCCCTGCCCCCCTTGGGGTTCAACAGGCCTCTGCATTGGTGGGGTCTGAGAAGACTGGACCATTCCCGACTGGCTGATTGAGTCAGAGCGAGACTGGAGGGCATTGTCGGAGACAGTGGTGCAGATTTTGGGTGAGCCCTGTCTGTTGAGCTTACTTCGCTCCTCCACCTGAGATAAGGATGACAACGAAAGGAGGATGCACATTGCAGGCCAGTGTACAGCAGTTTGACTGTGGTGTTCCAAGCTTCAAATGTAGGCAACATTGCTACCTCACGGGCCCAAGTGGGTTTGTTGTTGGGCTCCAGGTTTTTGTTGTAGTGGTAGAGCTGGGGCTTCTTTTCTTGCTGCTGTTGTTGCAGAGACACCAGGTAGGCATGCTCCTGCTGCAGCTGCCTCTGCAGTCGCTCTGACTGACGCTGTTCCTCTAGCTGCTTGCGCTTATACTCCTGGGATGAAAATAAAACAAAAACACACTGCAGTCAAGTCATTGCTTGCCTCAGGCTGAACACGAAAAACAGGTCAGGCAGGTCGTAAAAAACAAAACGAATCAAACGAATATTTTTAGCAAAACCTTTTTGTGCTGTATATTTAACTGACAATGAAAAACCAATAAGTCAACTGACTCACTTTTACACTGTGAGTTGTAGGCACAGGTCTCCTCGCCTTTTGATGGCCACGGCATACATAACGAAACAAGCACATTGCTTCTTATAACAGCAGAGATTAGATTTCCATTCCCAAGCAGGAAATGTCTCACATAAAGTTACATTTGAGAAACAACTTTAGGTACACAGAGTCAAAGTTAACTATTGTAATAAAGCTAAGACCTTTGCTGTTCTTATTCACTACGGGCCACACAGCAAAGCATTAGATCTACAAGTCAGTCTACACTATAATGCTCACATACATGTTGTGTGGGTGGTGAGTGAAAGCACGAGACTGTGGATGACAAACAAACCAAAGTCCTCTCAGAAACCAATGTGGTGTTCCTGCACAGTGAGAGAACACAGCCTGGCACCTGGTGAGAATGCCTCACCCAGGTGCTTCCCTACGTGGGAGGACACGTTTGAATAGGCCAAGGACATAATGGAGGGATTACAGCTCAGAGGGACCTATGAACTCCTGTGGAAAGGGACATCTACCCTGCTGCCACCCCAACACACATACTTAACATGGATATATATAGATATAGATATATATGTATAGATATATATATATATATAGATTATATATCTATCTATATAGATAGATATATAGATAGATATAAATATAGATATAGATATATATACATACATACTTCTTTTTTTAAAGGGGGAATCTTCCACAATGCCAAAACTGTTTTGATTCTCATTTTGTCTGAGGCCAGGGCAGTAATTATACGCATTTATATCGAAGATCACAGAATGCTAATTTTCCTTCCTGCACAATAAAGCAAAAGACAATACCTAATGTTCTGTTGTGAACATTTAATGTTGGCCTAATTGTCTTGAATGGTATTCCCGAACAAAAAATAGCAGCGGAAAAAGGTATGAATATAGATTTGGAAGCAGTTCATCAAGCGTTCAGCAAAGAATTGTGGCCGACTTTAGAGCCCATCAAAGCCGCCCAGCAGCACCTCTCTATTTGTGCCTTTTGTTTGATTTCATTACATCTTCAGAGGTGACTTAGTCCTATTTGATTTACATCTTGCCTGGTACTTTCTTCATTACATCTAATGAAAGGCACTATGGAAAGACTATTACTATCAATCAGCTGCAAGAAACGTTAAGTTTGCATTATCACAGCTGATTCAAACATCAGGAGAGGATTAGAGTTTATTACAGGCACTGTTGTAATGTCGGTGTATGTGAAAAGTTTTTTTTCTGGTGGCCAGTGTACGTCATGTTATCCTAAAATGCTGACTGAACACCAAAATTGCCTCACAGCATTACGGCACTGGTCCTAGGGGTGTGCTACCACTTCAGGGCCACTGTCCTGTGCTTTATGAAGATGCACATACCCATAATTCCTATGTGTATGTGTAACGTAGGAGGCAAATGTGGTAAACTATCCCAATTGCCTCATAAATACAGTAGTGAGGATTCGGTTCCAAAATAAAAAAACAGGAACAAGGAGCCGACACTACAGCTCAATCTAAATGACAGCTCCTCAGATGCTTCACAGGAGCTAGCTAAAGCAAAGCTGTTAGGAGAGTGGCAAATCCTCCCTTCACTGTAAGCAAGAGTCAATAACAAACTCTGAAATCTGCCCAAAACGGCCCTCAAAAATCTAGGTCAGTGCATGCCTTTAGAAGACACGCAGTATCGTCTGCCTTTCCCTCGACCTAACAGCATCTACCTCAAACACAGGCAGACATGCAACACTGCAGTGTTTGTTTTGACAAAACACTGCAACACCGGTTTTCCTCATCAGAATCGAGGCTGTAAGGATAGAGGGTGGCATATGCTGTACCAATTATAAAGCCCCCTGAGGCAGTTTTGTGATATGTGACTTAACTTGGCAAAATAAGAAAACAAGCCATTTTGTTGCGAGGACACACTGGTTTTTTTTTCTGTGCTGATCAATAAATGTCCTTCACTGATGATCTATTGTAACCGAGAGGACATGGAAACCTCTGCAGTCAAAACAAGACATGATAAAGGAGTAGTGAGGACTAGTTACCATAAGCAGTGCTTGCTCCTGAAGCAACTGCTGCTGAAGGATTTCTAACTGCCGCTGCTCTTCTTCTAACTTATGTCTGATAAACTCCTGAGGAAAGGTAAGGAGGCAGGAATGACAGGCATTAAAAGGCGGGAAAAGAGAAAAGACAGGACACAGAAAGATAAGAGGCACAGAACAGTTACGCAACAGCATTCCAGTAAACAACAGACACCGTGCGTCGCACTGATAACAAGTCTTTAAATTAACTTCAGCGGCAAAAGCATGCGCCGTCTCCGTTCAGAAGTTATAAGAGACAAATACAAGTTGCCATTGAAACATGACATCACTCTTTAGCACTAATCACTGCGTTGAGAAGGTTTGAATATTTAGCAGTACATTGTGGTTGTTTTGTGGCATACAATGAGTATTTGGGAGCACGGGGCGATGTTGCCGTGTTGCCAGACTCTTGTGTTACTGAGGGTAGACTGGAAACGGAGCACAAGAGACGCAGAGAGCTCACCCACAGAAAACTCATCTCTGAATAAATACACTAATTTAGACCCTTGCTGCTATGGCAACCTACTCGTGGAATTTCACCACCAGAGCAACTGGCACTGTGTTGCTGGCGGACACGCCCACACATGACAGCAATTGGCCGATTGCAGCCCCACATCTCCCGCGGTTGGTTACCTGCTCCCTCTCAGCCAACCTTCTATCTTCCTCCCGTCTCATATCGTCGAGCCTCCGGTGGGGACCTTTATCTTGCTGCCTCACCATGTCTCGCTCCTTTCTCTGTTGCTGGGAGAGAAGGGCGACAGGGGGGGGAAAAAAAAAAAGAAAAAAAAAAAAAAAAGGATAGAAATGAGCATACAGGCTGTGTTTGCACAGAGGCATTTATAATGGATAGCCTGCTTATAAGCAAACCCTCCCTTGTTTTTTGTGCAAAGAGCTGGAAAAAAATAAAATAAAATGGAGTGGGGATATAGGGCAGGAAACAGAGGCTGAGTCACTCAACACACACACACACACACACACACACACACACACACACACACACACA